CCCCCCGCCCTGCCGGCCCCGCCCTGAAAGGGCGCCAGCCGGCCCTGCTCCCTGCCCCCTGCCCCATGTTCCCTGCCCGATCAGGGTTCGGTGCGATCTGGTGCGATCTGGCATGATCTGGCGTGATCTGGTGCGTGACTCACAGCTCCAGCTTCCTCCTGTCGTCCACCACGTCCTGGTAGTCGAATACGAAGCCCTCCTGGACGGACAGCATGTCCTTGAGCTCGCCCTGGGGGGAATTGAGATTCAAGTTTGGATGATGAACAGTTGTGAAGGATATTCAAGGTGGTTGAGTTGGAAGGCAAACGTTGGAGCGGTGGGACGGGAGGGGCGCCGATCGGCTTCTGCGAAGATGGGGCTACAGGCAGGCGGGTGGCTGTGAGTCTGAGAGCGGCAGCAGGGCGAGCACACCGATTGGAACGGAGAGGGGGAGGGCTCGCGCGGCGCAAATTTGGGCGGTCGGGCGCCAGCGCGGCCGCTCGGAAACGGGCCCCGCCGCCGGCCGTCGCCCGTGCGAGGGGGCGTCGGGTCTGCAACCACACCCTTCTCCCCCCTAGCCCCGCCTCTGCCACCCACACACCCACTCGGCGCACGCGGACGGCCTCTCTCGCACCCCACAGCTACCGAAGCACCCCCACGCCCGAGACGCAGGCCCCGTGCTGCTGCCAACCCCCCGCCCCATCTCCTTTCGCAATCCGTCGACGCTCACCATCTTTGGCAGCGCCCCGACCTCCGGCCAGCCCTCCACCACCACCTCCACGCACCGCCGCGTCCCGTGGCGCCGCCCGTCGCCCTCAAGCCCCGCCTCCTGCAGCATCTCATCCAGCTCGCCCTCGGAAGTGATCAGCGCGTCGACCGCCGCGCCGCGCCCGCCGCCGCCGGCGGCGGCGGCATCCTCGGTCGCCTGCTCGGCTTCCTCCAGCAGGGCGTCTTCTGCGAGCGCCTCTGCGTCCTCCTCGGGCTGCTGCTGCTGCTGCTTCTTGGACTTCTTCTTCTTCTGGGCGCCGTCGTCGGCGGCGGCGAGGTCGAACGCGGGGATACCGGCGTAGCCGCCCTCGCCGCCGCCGCCAAAGCCGCTCCACCAGCCGCCGCCGCCGCCGCCACCGTTCCCGCCGCTGCCGCCGTTCCCGCCGCCGCCGCCGCCGCCGAGGCCCGGGAAGGCGACAGCCCACGAGCCGGCCGCGGCGGCGCCGAGGGCGCCGGTGCCGCGGGCGGCCCAGCTCAGGGGGCCGGCCGCGTGCTGCTGCCGCTGCTGCTGCTGCTGGTCCTGCTGTTGGTGCTGCTGCTGCTCATCGCCGCCGCTGCCGCCAAAGCTGGTGCTGGGTCCGCATTCGCCGCCGCTGCTGCTGGCGTCGCCCGGCTGCTGCGCGCTGCAAGAAGGCCGGAGCTGCGACCGGCTACAGGCACGCACTGGTGCGGATGCTGCCAATGACGCCTGTCCCCGCGAATACCGCCCGATACGCCCCCGAGGTGCCAATGGCCCTCGGGAATGCAGCATGATTGATCTGCCTGCGGCGGCTTACCCCGCCAGGCTATGTCCAATGGCCGCAATCCAATCTCTTGGGATCAGTCCAGGATAGAGTATGGCCCGTGCTCGTTGTGAGTGGGCCGCGAGCGGCAATATTGCTTGTTGCCCGGCCTGAGCGCGCTAATCTGTCCGCGCTCAATACACCTTTATGATGACAATCCGAACCACCATAAGTTCGTATGAACGCGTGTGCACCCCACCCCCCGCTCGCCGAGTGCTGACCAGATCTGAGCAACATTAGTCACGCTGGCTGCCGTGGAATTTCGAGCGTAGGGGGCTATTTATGATGCGGATATTCGCCGCGACTGATAATACCAAGCAATGAGTGCAGCCACGGAAGCACTTAGCAGCAAGGCTGCGCTCCTGCGGGGCGCCGCGCAGGCCCGCACAGGTCGAGGCGTGCGCAGAAGTCACCAGCCTCGTCCGACCATGTAAAGCTCAATTTATTTTGAGCACAGGAGATTTCTGTGGCACCTTTGTATAAAGGACGGGCTGCGACGTCCGCAGAGAGCTCTAGGGCGTCACATGATCACAAATGCCCTAACCCGACTCATGACTGTGTAGCTGCGGGGCGCCACCACAGTGTAGGTTGTGTAATTTTTGCGCAGTGGTTATTTTTGTAGGGCCTTCATGTTTGGGGCCGACCTCCAATCACACACAGCAACGCAGCCATCGCAGCTCGCCAGCAACCAGTAGCAGGCAACATCAAAGGCATCCCTGGCCGCCCCACGTTCCCGCATCAGCCAGGTTCTCATCATCATCATCATCTCATCAAACACAGTTTGCATGTGTTTTCATGGGAATGTAGCCTCAAGGGCGCCGATCCGAGCGCCGCGGCGGCCGCCACCACGGCTTCAACCGCCGGCGACTGCAAAGCTACCGTGACACTGGGGTCAACGAATTTGTCACGAACGCGCAGACCTTCCTTGCCGGCCGTCAAGGTGTCCCTTGTGGCTGACACCCTATGGCCTCGTAGGGTCAACACGTCTCCCCGATGTGTTTGCATGTTACTGCGCAGAGCGGCCGCTCTCCCACGGCGACGGGCCGCCCGCCCCTGCCGCTGTGCTGCGTCAGTGCAGTGCCACGCGGGCACGCCTGTCCCCAAAATCAGAACCCCGGGCCCGCGTGGAACGCGTGCCCCGCCCCAGCAATGCGTCCGCCGCGGCAATGTGCACTGCGCAGCACATGCCCCGCCCCTGCCCCAGCGTTTGCTCGCCGCACACCACGACTCCAAGGTTGCCCCACCCTCCAGGAAGCATCGCCACTTTACACAGTTCAACGGCATGTGATCAAACTCCACACATTGCAAAGATGTTTTACACTGTACACAGCGCGCATGCCGGATGATACCCCTTGCAACTCCCATCATATGCCTCATCGTGTGTCGGGAATGCCAACTCAGCCCTCAACCCTCACTAACATGAAAGGCACATCCGAACAATCAACACGCCCCACACCCGCGCGCCCGTGCGGCGGCGTCCGGCCGCCTACCCGTGGCCGCCGCCCCCCGTGCGAGGCGCGAGCGGCGCCAGCAGGGCGCACATACACCCTTCACGGATCAGGGATGGCGACAAAACCCGGGAGCCGCGAGACGCGCGCGACCCAGTCGCGCACGGCCGGATAGGCATCCAGCAAGAGAGCACCCTTTGAGGACTCCTCCACCAACGCCACGTATGGGAAGAGGTGGACGTCGGCGATGGTGGGGGAGGGGCCCTCGACCAGCCAGTCGCGGCCCGCGGCGACGCCGGCAGCGAGCTGTGTGTATGTTTGTGTTTGTGTGTGTGTGTGTGTGTGTGTGTGTGTGTGTGTGTGTGTGTGTGTGTGGCCGCGCTTGCAGATGCGCGTGCATGCACACGTGCATCACCGTCAAGTGTGATGCTACGGTCCCAGCAGATAGGGCGCAATGCACTGCACGCGTGGTGGCGCATGAACGCCCCGCCCGGAACAGTCACTCAGCGGCATGCAGCGCTCGGTCACGCGCGTGCCAGTAAATCCCTTTGCAAGCTTTGCATGCAGCAGCCAGCGCGTCCATGCAGCAGCCGGCGCTTGCATGCAGCAGCAGGCGTGTGCATGCAGCAGCCGGTGCGTGCATGCAGCAGCCGGCGCTTGCGTGCAGCAGCCGCCGCGTGTGCATGCAGAGCCGGCGCACCCACCTGGCTGTCAAGGTATGCCAGCACGCGGCGCCCGCTGGCCACCAAGTCCTGCACAGTCAGCGGCGAGATGTCCACCCCAAACAGCGAGGCGCCGCGCACCTGCACGTGTTGCGCAAGCGTACGGGCGGCGGCGTGGGGCGTGAGGGGGAAAAAGGCTGCGCTTGCGCTGTTGGTGGGCCGGCTGCTGTGCATGTTGTGCAGACCAGCGAGCGGCTCGCGGCCCGTGGTTTGCAGCGCGCTAGAGCTTGATTGCACGTTATAGTGCGCCAGCCGTTGCCAGTTGCCAGAGACTGATCGTTCCGTCCCTTTCTTAGACCACGAACTCAAGAGCAGACACCACACACTAGGACCCGAAACAAACAAGGCATAAGAGGATGCCCGCAAGAGAACAGCACACTCAAGGATGCGCCCGCCATCCCGCACCCTTTGAAGAGAGTTGGCGACCTCCCCCCCTGAGTATTGCAGCCAGCCCGCCACGCGCGCCGCCCTTACGGGGTCCTCGCGCCCGGGAAGCCAGCTGCTGGCCGCAGGGGCGTATTTCGCAGCCAGGTATGTCTGCGTGGCATCGAGGGAACGTGTTGGCATGCAATTGATCAAAACGTTCCATGAGAGCCGCTCTCGTGCACAATTGCGGCAATTGTGTGTGTGTATGTGTGTGTGTGTGTGTGTGTGTGTGTGTGTGCGCGCGCGCGCGCGTGTGCGTGCGTGCGTGCAAGCATGTGGGTGGCCGGGCAATCATGTGCAAGTGTATGGGGAGGCGGTGCGTTCTTGAGCATAATGGGATAAATCAGTCGGTGGGGAGAAGATGGCATCAAACATGTGCAAAGCACTCGGCGTCGGCCTCTTTTTTGCTGCCTGGTGACAGCGTGCGTGCATCACATCCGCCTATTGAGGCCCTCAAAAACCGTGCAGCTCGCGGCCGCTCACGAGTATGGCGGCGCTCTCGCGAATCACCACGCCCTCGGGGCTCTGGGGCTCCCCGGTGGCGCCGGCGTCGCCTAGGGCCGGCTCTGGGGCCGCGTTGGGGTCAATCAGCACGGGCACCTGGGGTGTGTGCGTGGGGATGCAAGTGCACATGCGATTGCGTGCGCATTATGAGAGCAAGCGGGCGTGCAGTGCATGCAAGCAAACATCGGGGGGGGGGGGGGGGGTGCGTACCTGCCAGCATTCAA